GCGAGTATCGTACCAGTCAAGGGTCGCATTCAATGAAAACCTCGGACAGAGTGAAGCCAAGCTGGTCACGCACTCGCCCGCGCCCGACGTAGGCGCGCGACAAGCCGATTTCGATCAACAGTAACAGCAGAGAGAGCAATGCCAGGAGCAGCAGTAGCGTGTCACAAAACTAGTGCGCGCCGGCTCTAAAGTTAGAGCATCTCAGAAACAACAGGTTGTCAACCGCCATGGTGCATCCACCCATGCGAATGCTGACAAAGGCGAACGTGTGAGAGTTGCACTCAAGAAGCGCCATAACATCACCGGATATGATTTTAGAAATTACAAATCCATTCCAAACCCTCTGCATGGCCGTCGGAGTCCGAGCAAAACTAGGAACGCTGATTGGCTTGGAATCTCGCACGCTGTAAGTCAGTGAATTGAGTAGTGTTGTTGGCTTTTCTTGTTTGGCCTGCACGCAGTGTTTGAAGCGACTGCTTGGTCGATAACTTCGTCGTTGATGTAATTGCCGCTTGCCCTGGCACGATGGGAGACGCGATTTTGACTGTAACTGTCATGGGTCGAGATCCACAAAAGGAGTCACTGGTCACTGCTTATCGTCGTATACTGAATGATGCCAACGTGGTTGGGGGCGATCTTCGATGTGGCGAAGTTCGACGTGTTCGCGACCTGAACAGGATCTGTACACGTGATTCGCAGGTTTGCTTTTAGCCAACTTCCGGAACTTCTTCGGAGTACGCGGTGAAGGAGTTAGGGTTGTCCGTTTTTTGTCTCCTGTGAATAGCCGGCTATATCGGCAAACAGCGGCATCAATTCACCAGTTCTCACCTGTCCTTTGTAGATCGCATGCCTAGCTCCCTTCTTGCCTGCCCCTAGACCTAATTAAAGTCAAAGCGCTGTCCTTCTTGCTCTAGCCGTGAATTCGAACGGGCAGAAAGTGGCTGCAAGCACCTGGTAGCGAAATTTCACATCCAAAATGGCCACAAGTACTAAGGAATTAATGGATGTCGACGACACGCGGCTGCTGGGCCAGCCCATGTGGTCACCCAAGGACCCTAGCTCGACTCGCATGGACACCTTTCGTCGCAAGATCTCACAGGAGCATGGTGTGGCACTGGAGAACTATGACGCCCTCTGGAAATGGTCCGTGGCACATCCGTCCCTCTTCTGGGAAGCAATATGGCGCGAAATGGGTGTGATCGCATCCAAGCGATGGGATGGTGGCCCAGGAGCCAGCCTGGATAAGGATGCCAAAATCTATCCTCCACCACTGTGGTTCAAGGGCGCAAGGCTCAATTTCGCGGAAAATCTGATGCGGCATTGCAAGACGCAGCCGGACCGAGTGGCTGTAATCCAGTCCACCGAGGTCGACACGAAAACAGGCAAGTTGGACGAACGGCAGCTCACGTACAGGCAGCTCTGGCAATCGGTCGCCAATGCGACCCGTGCTATGCGGAGACGAGGAGTCAAAGTCGGAGATACTGTCGCAAGTTACTCTGCGAACAACACCGAGAATTTGATCGCGTTTCTGGCCTGCAGCGCAGTGGGAGCGGTGTGGAGCTCAGCGGCGGCCGACTTTGCACCTTCTGGCGTGCTCGAGCGCCTGCGTACCGTGCAGCCAAAGCTCATCTTTAGCGTCAATGCCGTGCGTTACAACGGAAAAGTCCACGACCACATTTCTAAGCTCAGAATGGTAGTCAACCAGCTTGCTCAGGAGCAGTCGATCTGTAGCCACACGGGGCAACGGCTGGAAGGCGTCATTGTGATCGACAATGTTGGAGAACATGGCGCAAGTCTAGACGAGAACTGGACGACTTGGGATAGTTTTCTCAGTCAGGGACAGTCCGCAACAGATGAGGATCCTGCACACATTCTATTCGAACAGCTCGACTTCAATCACCCTCTCTGGATTCTGTTTTCTAGCGGCACCACGGGGCAGCCTAAATCGATCACTCATCGGGCGGGTGGAATGCTTCTACAACTCTCCAAGGAGCACCTCATTCACGGGGACATGAAGCCCTCCGACGTTACATTCTACTTTACAACGACAGGATGGATGATGTGGAACTATCTTATCGCCTCCCTCGTCTCTGGCGCAACCATCATCCTTTTCGATGGATCGCCGCTCAAGCCTCCGTGCGTGCTGTGGGATATTGCCGAGCGTCACGGAATCACAGTCTTTGGCACGAGTGCTGCTTACCTTGCTGCGCTCGAAAAGACGGGCTATATGCCAATAGAAAAGCACAAGCTTAAGGTTACACAAGTGCTCTCCACTGGGTCCCCCTTGCGTCCATCCCTGTATCCCTACGTTCTCAAAGCCATCGGCAAGGACGTTCTAGTCGGCAGTGTCAGCGGCGGCACAGACATATGCTCTCTTTTCGCAGGCCATAACACGGCGTTACCCGTCTATGCGGGAGAAATTCAATGCCGTAATCTTGGGATGGATGTTGATATCTTTGATATCAATGGAAAGAGTGTCGGTATCAACAAAGAAGGAGACCTCGTTTGCAAGACACCTTTCCCCGCTCAGCCTCTCGGATTTTGGCGTCAGTCGGAGAAAAAGTACGAGGACAGCTACTATTCCCAGAACCCCGGTGTTTGGCATCATGGTGATTTTGCCATGCTCTCTCAGCATGGCGGTCTCGTCATGCTCGGCCGCTCGGACGGCGTCCTCAACCCAGGTGTGTCGTTCCACAACTACCTCAACCCTTTGCCTCCTTTCTATTCCTGACGCGCGTCTTGTAATCCAGGCGGCATTCGCTTTGGAAGCAGTGACATTTACGAGCTCCTCGAGGCACAAGAAGGGCGGACAGGAGCGATGCTGGCTATCGACGACTCGCTTGTGGTTGCGCTCAAGACGCCAACCGGGGATGACGAAGTCGTAATCCTCTTCTTGGTTCTTTCTGGCAAGGTGACAGAGGAGCAATGGAATGAGCTTGTGGCCGAGGTCAAACTACTCGTCAAGAACAAGAGGAGCGCGAGACATGTACCACGGTTTGTAAAGCGTGTGGCGGGAGTCCCAAAGACCTTAAATGGAAAGCGCGTAGAGGTCCCTGTAAAGAAGCGTAAGTGTGGTCATGTCGGCTCCTTTCACCTCGCCACTGAAAGCCGCATATCTTTCAGTTATCAATGGTGCACCACTCTCCTCCATCAATCAGGCGACACTCCAAAATCCCGAGGTGCTAGACGAGTACATCCGGCTTGGCGAGGAATTGCGAGACGAGCTAAAACGCGTGGCATAGACTGCGGGGATGGATGCTGCTTAATGGATTGCGGTGCACATGCTGCTAGCCTCACTTGGATGTATAGAAATAGTATTCGTCTACAAGCGGCAAGTAATCTCCCAGCTGGCGGTAGACAGAATCCTTGAGTCACCGAAGTGCGTTGTCGTCAGAAGCAAACAAAACACTCACGATGCCACCCAGCAATCCAAGCAAAGGTCGCCTTTCCAGTGAAGCGATGATCCGTTCCAGTCTCGGCCTGACAAGGAATCGAAGTGTAGGAAATGAGTCAGTTTAACACGAAGCACAATGTCCAGAGGGGGGCGAGCGGGAGCGTACCTTGTGAAAGTGTCCCATGCTGGACCTCGTAAAAGATACCACCAGAAACTGCTATCCCGCTTGGCCCATTCGTTTGCCTCAACAATACTGACTGGTCGTTCCCTTCGCTTCGACTCCGAGTCGGCGCCGCCGCCGGACAAAAACGACATAACCTTGGAAGTGAGCATGTCCCTACCACCGAGGCTACCAGCAAAGGCACCAAGTAGGGTGTTGGATGGGGGGCTCGCAGGCTTGCGCTGTCCGAAGCCAAGGTTGGGGGAGAAAGAACGCTTTCGTAGCTGCCGTGCAAGATACTCAACGAGCAGCGAAAAGTAGAACGGAAGCAGTGAGTGTTTCCCGTATCTTCGAATGGAAAGTGCTGTAAGAATGAGAGCCAATGGACATCGTCAGTACGTGTCAACAGGTGAACCAAGCAATGCGCAGAAAGGTGACTCACCATAGAGGACCGGTCTGATGATCCACAGAATTTCCGCCATTCGACCGACATTCCCTAAGACGGGCCTGACCAGCTCGGGCGGCTTAAGCACATCGGTTGGCGCCAGGGTCCGGCTGAGCAGGAACGAATTGACCTGTGCATCCGTCCATCCGCGCTGCACCCTCTCTTGCTCGTGCTGCAGCCACATCTCTTCCTCTTCTTCCTCGGGATCTACTAACGTGGTCTCATCAGAGTCACTCCCATGTGCCAGAAAGGACTCGGCAAGAGGATGCGGAGGCAGCGTGCAAAGAAGACCAGCTGCTACCACTTCCTTTGCGCCTGGTCGAAGAGAGCGCAGGGTGGGCCGTGTCAAGCCTGTGCGCTTGCCGCGCCATGTATCCCATTTTTCCCCTGGATGAGACCGAGGAGCGGAGGGCAAGCCCGGTTTCTCATCCTGATAAGCGTGAATTATCTCTTCGATCTTCGCTCGTCGCTCCAACTCTAGCTCAGCGGGGTCGACCTCGCGTTCGGGCAGAGGATTGGAAGACAAAAGTGTACGTTCGCCAGTGCACCTCCACAGAACGAGGCGCAAAGCGGCCTTGAGTGACTCGAGAAGGATGACGATGTTCATCGGTTGCAGCCTGTCGGTGAGAGTGGCTGCAGGACCGCCACGCCTGGACGCTGCAGCGATCTTCGACTGGTGGTGATACCGCACGGCAAGCATCTCGATTAGAAGCTCGGTGTGAGAGATGAGAACGAGCAGCTGTGAAGCCCGTTTGTATAGTGCTGAAGAGCGGGACCAGTAGTTGGTATATCGTGCATGTTGCGAAGGAGTGTGCGAGGCCGGAAGTGCGAGCTGAGGTCCTTCTTGCGTGCGCAATTCGCTGGAAGATAGTGACAGCGATGGATTGGTCGAGGAGGGCGTAATTCCTATACTTGTCTCCGAGGTGGAAAGCAAGTCGGAAAGGATGGAGTCATGGTAAAAGCCTAGCACGTTCAAGGCCGAATAAATGGCCTCTCCAGCCCTGCAGGGCCAGTGGTAGAGAGGAGTAGCGGCTCGTGTTAGCAATTCCTCGATGAGCACGTTTAAACCACAGCGACCCACAACTCTGCATCCTTGAACCTTCCCGGTAAGAAGTAGGTAATGCTGCGCAGCGTCGACTCTACTGCGGTGATCTGCGAAGCATTAGAGAGCAGAAACGATTGGTACAGTGTCGCCATCTTGTCTCGCAACCGTTACGTTTCGGGCTCGGTCGGCGGCGGTGATAACCTTCACAGGACGCCGGTG